GTGTCCCTTCGTCCAGCATACTCACCATGGAATCCTGATATTTCATGAATGTCAAAAAACTGTTCTGAAATAGTGCTAAATAGTGCCCAAAGGAAAAAAATAGTGCTCTTGTACTTGCGAAGTTATAGCCATAGTTCGATGAGTATGCTGGACGAAGGTTTCGCCCAGCATACTCACCTCCGTCCGGAGAATCTGTATACGCTTCAAACATAATTCATACTTCAAAAAATAGTTCCCAAATAGTGCCAAACGGTGCCCAAAAAGAAAAAACAGTGCTCGAATAACTTCGGAGTTATAGGCTTCGTTCAGTGAGTATGCTGGGCGTAGGTTCTACGCCCAGCATACTCACTGAACGAAGCCTATAACTCCGAAGTTATTCGAGCACTGTTTTTTCTTTTTGGGCACCGTTTGGCACTATTTGGGAACTATTTTTTGAAGTATGAATTATGTTTGAAGCGTATACAGATTCTCCGGACGGAGGTGAGTATGCTGGGCGAAACCTTCGTCCAGCATACTCATCGAACTATGGCTATAACTTCGCAAGTACAAGAGCACTATTTTTTTCCTTTGGGCACTATTTAGCACTATTTCAGAACAGTTTTTTGACATTCATGAAATATCAGGATCCCATGGTGAGTATGCTGGACGAAGGGACACTTTTCTTTTGTTTTCAAATAAATGTAATTTGTCATCAAAGCGTTGTTTTACATTGTTAGTTTGTGGGTTAATTCTGTTGTACGTGGGTGGTCTAAAAGTAGGGTAACGGTACCTATCTTGTCCTGTGGGAATCGTTAAACTTAAAAAGCATTACGCGTCAAAGGTAATCTAACTAAAGGACTTTTTAACTATTTCTTTTTTTGTTTGCCTGTTTATTTATTACATTAACTTGTACCTGAATAAAGTATTTGGTTTCATTTTGTGGTCTAAGTTTTTTTTTCTTTTATCGTTTTACTTTTCTATGTGGCTAACTACTGCCCGTGGCTTCGCCCGCATCTCCGTGGGATAAAAGTGTTATTCCCGACCATAATCTATCCCTGTTCCAAATTTCATCTCGATCCTTCAGCCATTTTGACGTAATTGAGCTAACACACAAATTCACAAACTTTCACATGTATAATATTAGTGAGATTTGTTGATTTAGTAGGTAGGAAGAGATTCCAGGTTCGAATTTTGAGTCCGGATATGTATCAAGCTGAAAATCAGAAATATTAAGCACTAAATCACAATAGGGTAGTTTCCTACATTTTACTTTAATGTCTGTCTGGTAGATTAATTTAAAACTTTAGACACGTATTTTTTATTTTCACTAAATTAAATACTTTCGGCGATATATTAATTTGAAATATCGTGTGACGTCACAGCGTGCCACATTTTATAGCACGTTATGACGTAACGACCTTCCACTCCTAAACTTAGTCCCATTTTATCTAAGTATTTCCACTTAATACGTTAAAATAAAAAAATACGTGTCTAATATATTTTTTCATTATGTAACTGACGGACTAATTAGATTTTTATGTTTGATACCTTGGGAACTACCCAATTCTATTTAACGACTCAACAATACCGTATAGTAACAAGAATATTCTACGGTTCCCATTAATTCGCGAGGCCATCAATTATCATTAAAATCAAAGTGCGTACCGTTACACAAGCAATCACGAGACAAGACGTTCTCACTTGTGTTGATTAATTACGACATTAGTGGGATATCACACGCCACATATTCCTGCATTTACCCTCAAATCTCAATTTTGACGTACTAGCAATGTAATAGTTTGGTCGAGAATAAGGACCGCCATTTCAAAAGTAATAATAATAAGTATATCATCATCAACAGCCTTTAAGTGCCCACTGCTGAGCAAAGCCTCTTCTCACACGGAGAAGGTTTGAGCATTAATCACCACGCTTGCTCATTGCGGGTTGGCGATTTCAAACTTATAATTACAAAATATGCTCAGGTTTCCTCACGATGTTTTCCTTCATCGTTTGTCATGTAAATAATCTTAGGAAGTACATATGACTCGGAAAAAGTCACATTGGTACTTGCTATCGGTAGGTATGGAACCCGCACCCTCATGCATGAGAAGCCGGTGTCTTAACTTCCGGGCCACCACTATCTATACTGTTGGACATTGGCATCTCCTATGTCACGCCACTGAGCTCAATCTAGTATATGGTTTGATTGAAATAAATGATTTTATTTTGAATTTATTTGTTGTGCTGCTCATAAGTAAGATGATACTATTTGTTCAATTAAAAATTCTGTACAATGGTTTGACATTAGGAAATTTCTTCGACACCACTTTCTAGGCAGGGTGGTGCTAGTGGTCAAGTCTGCTTCATATTACGGTTTGAATTCATTTATTTCTAAAATATTACAATAGACGTACGATACACTTGTATAGAAATAAATACTTAAACTAATTTTACATTTGTTGATTTGTCCAGGAGTAACAAGAGGTTGTAATAGCGGTAACAATTTTAGGACTTTAACATCACAATAAATTATAAAGGCAAAGTAAACAAATAACAATGTATGGAGGTATTCGTTAAAATATTTAATGACAAATATCTTACGGCCTACCGCCTTGCGCTGCATTGATGCGGCCTTCTGTGCGGTTGATATATTACATCGTCTTTCTTGTACCTTATTTCTGCAATCACGGAATGATTACATTCCTCCTTCATTACAGTCATCCTTTGATTACAGTCTTGATTTAGTCGGTCTAGCGCACTTATCACTAGCAATGTGCTTTTATTTTTAACCTTTACCTGTATTTGATGTGTCGCTTTACTCTCTACCTAGTTTTATATCGCTAAACACAGTTTTGTGTCATATCCAGCGGCCTTACATTCTGAATATTCTGATATTACTAACATAATAGAGATGGAGGCATCGACATCTTTTACTTTTTTTATTAAACTAAAAAATGATATCAATAACGAACTTTATTATTACTTACATTATTCGTATAATCTATTTCGGAATCTTGCTTATAAATAAACCAAAATAAGCGAAAACAATCAAAAACATAAAAACACTATTCACTACGTTTGCAAAAATTACATAATCTTCATTAGAAGATTTTAAATCAACGGTGACATCATCAGATTCCCATTTAGGAAACACTAAATAGTCAGAATACTTGTTGTCACACACAAAATTATTAATTATCTTGATATAATTATGTGGCTTTGAACTTACACTGCAAAGTTTGGTCAGAAAGAAAGTCAATAGAATGGTTATAATAGTCAAAATAATAGAATCGCGATAGTACAACAGTATAGTAGGAGTAAAGGCGTTACCTTTAGGCATGTCAATGTCTAACTGAATCAGTAAATAATAATGTCCAAACAAAGTGAAGCAGCCAACTGCTAGCCTTACATTGCGTCTCACGTCTAAGAACAGCGTCACAATATTGAGCACAGTCAACACTAAAGCAGGGTATATGAAGATCGCAGACAATCCAGCCGCTTCCCTCACCAGCACCAAAGTCACTGTCACTCCTGGCTTGCCACTCGCATTATTCTCTTGTTTTATTTCAGAAACGTGCCATCCAGCTGTATATTCGTCAGATATGGCTGTTCTAAGGTTTACTGTCATGTACTCATGACCAAATTCCAAACTGCATTCTTGAACATCGTAAGGCCAGTTAGTGAGTTTGACGCCACACCATGTTTCATGCAGCATTCTGTGTCGACATGTAACGACCCCCGTGTTATAGATTTTGCAAGAATATAAAGTCGATATTTCAAAGTTGAAGAAATCTTCCACATTGATTAGTTCAAATTTTGGAATCCAAGATGAATATTCTCCTATTTCTGTGTCCTTGATACCGTGGTATTTGTCTGGATCCCACTTTAGTCGTTCATCTCTCCAAGTAATATTTAAAGTGGTTTGAGCAGTGAATACTTCTTTATCGGCTTCGAAACTGATTCTTCCTACATCCATAAAGACATAGACTGTATTGTTTCCTGCCGGAGGCTTTTTTGAACTGGGACACATATCTTCTAAAAGGTTTTTAAGCCACGTGACATACTCTGGTTCTCTTTTATTATTGGCACAGTCTTTGGCCAGACTAAATTTTAAAAGATACATTAGTAATAAAATATAAGTGAACTTCGTCATGGTTTCTACGATACTGCTTTCAATATCAATTGTTATGTCATATAATATGAAAACGCCCACTGAGATAAGCGTTGCAAATGTATTTTTTTTATTGATTTTTCATAGAACGGTTGCTAAAGTTGTGAATTGTGAATACATAATACAGAACCACCTTTTGTGAATACAAAAGAGGTTTTTATACTCTAGGTGTAATACAATACACTTGTTAATCTTGTATGTTACTATAGGTAAGTATGTGTGTGACCGCCTCGTTGGCCGAGTGGTCATAAGTGCGACTGCCTGGCAAGGGGTCTCGGGTTCGATTCCCGGACAAAATGCTACAGGAACGGGAAGTGATAGAGTCACCCCTTATTACATGGGACTCATAACATAAATAGTGAAAAGTGGGTGGGACATTGTACAGTGGCAATAAGTGTCGTAATGTGCACCTCTGCTTTACTGAACGAACTTTGCTTGCCCACTCCTAAACTTAGCCCCATTTTATTTAAGTATTGCAACTTAATAATAATAATTATAATAATTTATTTATTTATTCAGATAATACAATCCATATGGTTAGTAAAGACATCTACAACTTATAAACTAGTATTAGTACATAAAACCTCATCATATAAAATTAAAATAATTTGTCATAAGTAATATAATGATAATATAGTAACAATACTGCTGACTTTCACTACTTCTGGGCACGATTTGTAGGCAACACTTGCGTCTTCGTCCAGTGTTTTAGCATAAGGCCATCAGTCCTATCCGCCACGGTCATCAGAAGACTGTTGGCGCTGCCCCGCACCCGCTGCATCAGGGAGGCGACACGCTTTCTTATGATTGCGTAGAAATCATCTATGCGTGCATCAGCGAACATCCCCGATGCGCTACAGTGTCGAGGCAGCCTCAACAGTGCCCTGTACGCGTTATTATATTGGACTCGCGAGGCGCTGTAAGCCCTCTGCGAGTAGTCGACCCATAGGCTGCAGGTATAAAAAGATTGACAATATGCCCTGAAAAGTGTAGCCTTCACATCATGAGAACACTTTGCAAACCTGCGGATCAACATATTGCTCCTGACATAATACGTGAAAATAAAAAAAAATACGTGTTTAATATTTTTTCATTATGTAACTGACGGACTAATTAGATTTTTAATTTTGATACCCTGGGAACTACCCAATTCTATTTAACAACCCAACAATTCCGTATAGTAACAAGAATATTCTACGGTTCCCATTAATTCGCGAGGCCATCAATTATCGTTAAAATCAAAGTGCGTACCGTTACACAAGCAATCACGAGACAAGACGTTCACACTTGTGTTGATTAATTACGACATTAGTGGGATATCACACGCCACATATTCCTGCATTTACCCTCAAATCTCAATTTTGACGTACTAGCAATATAATACTTCGGTCGAGAATAAGGACTGCCGTTTCAGAAGTAATAGTAATAGTTTCAAAAGTAATACTGACCAGATTGGCGATATATTAAAGAAGTGTCAAATTAAAAGTACCCTTAACCGACGAGCATGCATGAAAAGATTGATGACTGTTTATGAAGCGAAAGAGATATATATCTCTTTATAGTAATCGGAGCAATTGGCGTTCCATTGTAGGCAGAGGCCTACCCCCATGGGAGACAGGCGTAAAGTCAAAGTCAAAGTCAAAGTCAAAGTCAAAGCATTTATTTCAATTAAACCATAGTTTGGTACTTTTGAAACGTCAACAAATACAAAATAAATAATAGTCTGTCAGTCAGTCCGTCAGTGAAGCTAGGTGAAGCTAGGTGCTCATTCCAAAACGTAGATTCGAATGGAGAAGAACGAGCAAGAAACTCCATTCGTTACTCTTTTAAAAAAGTATGTTCTACAATGTCTCTGATACATATTTCAATACTGTACGCATATGTAAGAACAATGCAAAGACACGCTTGACGCATTATACTACTAACTTACTAAAATAAAAATAAAAATAATAAAGATCTTAAGTCCAACATGGTGCTCACATATGCATACTGACAATCCATAGAAATAGTGCTTCTATACAAGAAAAAGGAAACTCTTTGTTTCAATAAAGAAAGAAATGCTCGATGCCATAAGGAAACTAGATTGTCTACATTAGAATTAAAGTATTAAATAATGTATTATATTACCTACTATTGGAATTTAACTACTGACTACATTTGAGTATTGTCCAGTGGAGCCGAACCAACATGCTGCCAAGCATTCTTATCTTCAAGATAATCTGTCAGTGTGTAGTAAGCTTGATTACATAATTCGCGCTTAATATATGTTTTAAATTTACTTTCATTGAGATCTAGTATGCTATTTGGTATTTTATTATAGCATTTAATACCTAACCCCATAAAGGATTTCTGTACTTTGGACAGTCTGAATTGCGGTATAGCTAACTTATTTTTGCCTCTAGTATTGAAATTATGTCTATCGCTTCTTTTTTCAAACAATTGCCTATTTTTCCTTACATACATTATATTTTCATATATATATTGACAGGGCACCGTTAAAATATTTATCGTTTTCGTCATGTATGTATGTAGTATATCATCAACAACCTGTTCTCGTACACTGTTGGACATAGGCCTTTCCTTGGCATTGGCATGCTACTGAGCTCGATCTAGTATATGGTTTGATTGAAATGAATGATTTGATTTTGAATTTATTGGTTGTTCTGCTCATAAGATAACAATAAACGACAAGTGTACAGTTCAATATTTGTTCAATCGAAAATTCTGTCCAATGGTTTGATATTGGAACATTTCTTCATCACCACTGTCCAGGCAGGGTGGTGCTGGTTGTCATGTCAGCTGCAAATTACATCGTCTGTTTTGTACCTTATTTCTGCAATCATGCAATGGACCTTTGATTACAGTCTTGATTTAGTCGGTCTAGCGCACTTATCACTAGCAACGTGCTTTTATTTTTAACCTTTACCTGTATTTGATGAGTCGCTTTACTCTTTATCTAGTTTTATATCGTTAAATATACCTCTAGCTTTGTGTCATATTCAGTATCCTTACATTCTGAATATAATTACATTCTGATATTACTAACATAATTGAGATGGAGGCATCGACATCTTCTACTTTTATATTAAACTTAAAAACGATATCAATAACGAACTTTATTATTACTTACATTATTCTTATAATCTATTTCGGAATCTTGCTTATAAATAAACCAAAATAAGCAAAAACAATCAAAAACATAAAAACACTATTCACTACGTTTGCAAAAATTACATAATCTTCATTAGAAGATTTAAAATCAACGGTGACATCATCAGATTCCCATTTAGGAAACACAAAATAGTTAGAATACTTGTTATCACACACAAAATTCTTAATTATCTTGATATAATTATGAGGCTTTGAACTTACACTGCAAAGTTTGGTCAGAAAGAAAGTCAATAGAATGGTTATAATAGTCAAAATAATAGAATCGCGGTAGTACAACAGTATAGTAGGAGTAAAGGCGTTACCTTTAGGCATGTCAATGTCTAACTGCATCAGTAAATAATAATGTCCAAACAAAGTGAAGCAGCCAACTGCTAGCCTTACATTGCGTCTCACGTCTAAGAACAGCGTCACAATATTGAGCACAGTCAACACTAAAGCAGGGTATATGAAGATCGCAGACAATCCAGCCGCTTCCCTCACCAGCACCAAAGTCACTGTCACTCCTGGCTTGCCACTCGCATTATTCTCTTGTTTTATTTCAGAAACGTGCCATCCAGCTGTATATTCGCCAGATATGCCGGTTCTAAGGTTTACTGTCATGTACTCATAACTAAATTCCAAACTGCATTCTTGAACATCGTAAGGCCAGTTAGTGAGTTTGACGCCACACCGTATTTCATACAACATTCTGTATCGACATGTAACGACTCCCGTGTTATAGATTTTACAAGAATGAAAGGTCGATACCTGGTTGAGGAATTTTGCCACATTGATTAGTTCAAATTTTGGAATCCAACCTAAAAAGTGTCCTATTTCAGTTTCCTTGATACCGTGGTATTTGTCTGGATCCCACTTTAGTCGTTCATCTCTCCAAGTAACATTGAAATTGGTTTGAGTAGTGAACACTTCTTTATCGGCTTCGAAACTGATTCTTCTTACATCCATAAAGACATAAACTGTATTGTTTCCTGCCGGAGGCTTTTTTGAACTGGGACACAGATCTTCTAAAAGTTTCTTTAGCCGCGTGACATATTCTGGTTCTTTATTATTATTGGCACAGCCTTTGGCCAGACTAAATGTCAAAAAATACATTAGTAATAAAATGTAAGTGAACTTCATCATGGTTTCTACGATACTGCGTTCAATATGAGTGTTATGTCATATTATACGAAAACGCCCACTGAGATAAGCGTTGCAAATGTATTTTTTTATAGATTTTTAAATCTATAGAGGTTAGGTTTTGGCATACGTATGTACATACATATAAGAACTATGTTACTTGCCAATGTTTTACAATGTTGCTGACCAAATATTATAATGGACGCCTAAAATCCTATTTCATTTTAAAAATCACCTCCTTACAAACCCCGACAATTATCTTTCATGTTAACAATGAGGTATCATCAAAAAAGTCCCAAACTCAACCCTAATTAAGCTGAAGGGCTGGACGCACCGCAAAAAGTAGGCCCAAATGAACCGCATAGGGTTGACAAAACGGGACTTAAATTACTGTCTCTGAGGTGAGGCGCGTGTCACTGTATAATATGTTAGCTGCGACCTTTTTTAATTTAAAAAGTTCATTAGGCTGATCAATTTATGGATTTAGTTCTGATGGATGTGACATGTTGCAGTTGCAGTTACTAGGTGTAGTGTCGTTAGTGGTTTGTAGGTATTATTTTTTCCTTTTCATTAGTTGCAAAACAAAAATACTTCTTTTGGGAAATATCCATTGTTCTATTCTCTAATAATATTCTGGCGGTTATTCGATAATTTATCATAGTTGAAACTAAAGACAGATTTAGACGTGAAACATGTTAGCAATCAAACGAGTATATCTGTTACAGAGTCACAAGAGTAAATTGATTTTGTCATGGTCATTTCCAGTGTCCATCGACATCCGTGTGTAAAACCACCATCAATTTCCATGGAACCATGACGGGTACACCTCGGGCTGATTTCTGTTGGTCGCAAAATTTTCGTTAACGTCTGTTTTACGACCCATGTCATTGAAACTCTCATTATTATTAAAGAAGTGTTGAGTTTTCCAAAATTTATATTCCCCGACCTATTTATAAGTTAATATGGAATTATGGTTTCGTCCCCTACGGACTTGGTTGTATTTTCAAATTGTTGATATTGTAATTTGTTACTTATTTTTTAGGATACAAGTTTCCTTTTCATGCAATAAAGGGGCTGATGTGGTTGATGTTGTGATGATAACGTGGGTCATCCGAATGCTAAGTTTGTTTATTAAACGGTTTTTTTAAGTTTAATTTCAAAGAATTAGAAGTTCCTTTTGATAAAATAGATCATTTCATTTTGATATGAGAAAACTTGGAAGCAAAAACTGATGACCACAAAATCGTTACCTATAATCTTGGGAATACGTAAATGTATAAACAAGTACAATTGTTTGGAACACAAGAACGTCTGCTATAAGATACCGTCAACCAGTTAGTGTGTGAGGAACGGAAGAATGGACACGTATTTGGACCATGAACGGACAGGTGCACCTGTCTTGTGTATTGACTTGAGTTTACCAGAGTAGAAGCACAATATGAATGTTGAAACCCAAATAGACTTGTGTTTGTGACTGTGGGTGTACAATGGTACATACATACATTTTAATTATTACGTAAATGTTAATCTTACAGTAGCGGATAACCTAACGAGTTGTCGGGGCTCCGGCTTGACGTGCAGGAGAAGGAACGGGGTGGGTTTTAGTCAGTAAGAGTCTGAAACTCCGTCGTTCCCCCTTAAAAATAATGTTACTCTTACAGGCACTTGGACAAGTATAATGAATAAAGATGATACAGCTTTTCATCATCATCATCAACAGCCTACAAATACCCACTGCTGAGCAAAGCCTCTTCTCACACGGAGAAGGTTTGAGCGTTAATCACCACGCTTGCTCAATGCATCTCAGTAGTAACGGAGAATTTATAATAACTCAGTAGTATTTTGCCTGACCAGGGAATCGCACTCGAGACTCCTTGCCTGGCGCAGTCGTCCTTGCGACCACTCAGCCAACGAGGCAGTCTATCTAATTTATTCAGCAGATATGCGTAGTCGGAACATGTCACTCGATCTACTCACACTATTTAGCAGACCCAACTATCTTCGAGTTCCTGAAACAAGTAATCAAACAATTTACTTCAGGGCAGTGCGTAATAAAACTTTGGAACCGTCCCGAGCCACTACTATGTTATTCCATTAAAAGTTTCACGTAAAAATGCGTAATTTACGTGGCTTTGTTTACGTGTTTAACAGTAGAGTGTTAACGATTTTATAAATTTTTAGGCTTCCAATGTCAGGCGTACAGGTGTCTAGGGACTAAAAGTGGTGTAGTTGCTTTTTGTTGGAGGTCAAAACGATAATAGGGCTATTGCAAGGCGTAAAGCCTACTGTACTCACAAAATGTTTATATTTTCTCTTGTTGAACTGCTTTGGGATGGACAAAACTTTTATCATTATTCTGATGCTTGTTAAGATAGAGTTGTAGTTAAAACATCTCTGTGTGTTGCCACTTGTATAGTTATTTTGTCCTGATCAGCTGGGTAACTTACTATGGCGCTCATTGTTTGTGACGAGCATAGTTGTTGGGTTAATTCGTGTATAGTTGTGTATAGTGTATAGTGTATAGTGTATATCGTTAATAAGTGTATCATAAAAACATGCTTCTGAGAAACAACTCAAACAAATTGACTCCACGGTTGGCGCGGTAGCTGGGTAACTCGCTGCCGCGCATTGTGTCGCGGGTTCAATTCCCGCACGGAACAACTCTTTGTGCGATCCACAGATTGTTGTTTCGGATCTGGGTATTATGTGTTTGTAAACATCCTAGGAGGAGGGGAAGGACAGGAGAAAATCCTAAAGTAGGGCAACGTTAAAAAATGGTTAAAATTCTCCCGTTATAGTTGAACCACGAAAACTCAATGACTTTTTAAATAGACACCACAAAATATAACTAAAACAAAACTAGGCGAGTTAGCAACTAATATCAGTAGCAAAACGAATCTTATACTCCACAGCACACAATTTTAACGAAACAACGTTGAAACAAACTGACAGCCACATTTCCACGCTACGTTAGTTCCGACAGTTAGGAATACGATCTTTGCCGTTGAGTAAACAGTCAATAGAGGGAAATAGAAGATTTTTTGTGTATTACAAAGCATTTATACAATAAATAAATATTATCAATCATTTTATTCTATGTCTATTTTTGAAACATTAAGTGCATTCGTTTGTCGACCTGCTGGGCTAATTTGTAACTTTGAATTCGAAGGATTGAAGAGAACTTGCTCGCGGTCTGCCATAATGTCATTGGTTGTGAGAATAACCTGGACCAATGACGGGCGAGAATGCGATTAAACTAACTTTGAAAGTTCGAATCGACAGTCAAGAGCATATATGTTTTAATAAATAATTAGGCACTTTTGAAAAGTCAAAATTTGATTTGTTCGTCCGTTTGTCTGTCAGAGAACTGTCTGACAATTATGGAATAGCTTAGCAGCTGCTGCAGCATTGTTTAGACCAAAAAAATATATTCCACTTCTTCCTATTTTACTTCTTTTGATTCAACCATGTCTGCATCACCTAACAGCTTATTAAATACCTGCTTCATGAACTTTACCTTAGCTTAATTTAAAGTGAAAAACATTAAAATTACATAAATTACACTCAAAAACATCAATTACAACTATCTATTTGACAGGTGACAGCCCTAACGTTAGTGACGTCACAGTATTCAAGGCCGGTATTATGAGCACTCCATTTAGACTTTGTTGTTACTCCGTGTCGTGAAAGGGTGCTAGTCAAAGGAGTGATGAATGTGCTGAATGAATAGTGTATGTGACACGCGTTTGTATGTAGCTTAGGTCTTACATCTCAACCTTGTAAGGTTTGGGGGTCGATGTCCTTAGATTTTTTTAAATTATTACA